GCGCCAGTCTACTCGTGGCAGGCAAGGCGCCGCATCTTTCCCCGATAAGTTCAATGTGTATTCTGTAAGTGAAACGTTCCTGCTACTTCGTCTTCCCGCGAATGACTCCCGTGTCCGACAAGCTACGCTCTACTGCGCATTTGCATGTCCTGCTCATCGTATATCGTGATACCAGCTAGTGTTGATAGTCACCACACAGGTCTGATGCAAAAGCGATCAGCAACCACACACTGCATGACATACTCGACTTGGCAATTTCAAGTCATGGCCGTGGCGGACCTCCGAGGCTGCCATTACTGCCCTGCCCGGGCGTTTGGACATTAGAAACCCAACGGAACTGAGTTTGCGAATGCGACCTCCTAGGCGCGCCCAAGTGCCTCGTGCCTGGCGCTATCTCTGTCGGGGCAGCCCGTGGGGTCCGCGGGCGGGCCTGGGGAACCCAAGTGCTGCTGCAGCTAAGGCAGCCAGTGACGCTGCACTTGTAGCTGGTATGTCTCTGATAGTCCGAAGTTAATCGCTCTTTTCCAAGCAGTTGCTACAGTTAATGAAAGAACTAAAGCGGCCGATCAGAAATTGGATAAAGCCTCTTTAAGCCTCAATGAGAGAGCAGATAAGACAGATAAGAAGCCCAAGGAACAGAAGGGGTGCCTTTCCGGAGAAGGCTCCATCAGCGAGCACGGGCCTCTCCTAAGTGTCGTAGATTAAAGCATGGGACACGGTTGTGGCATGCCGAACGCTCCTAATGGTCCTCGAATGGTGGTTCAAATTAATCCCCCATGGAGGTTCTGTCTACAGCCGAAACGCCGACGCATCTGTCCGTAAGAAATCCGCAACTTGATTGAATGGCCCCCAAACTTGACTCATACCGTCCTCGGTATAGCAGAGCTAGGTTGCCCTCCTCCGTCCCTGCTGAGGTGGCTCCGCCATCCAAGCGCGGCCCGTCGGCCCCCATTCTGGCATTACCTAACTCATTTTAGCTCAGCCCCCCCCCTCGAGGGAGGAGTTTACCTTGCCTCCTTTAGCCTCGGGCTAGTGGGAGATACGAAAGGCTAGTGGACGGAAATACTCGTGCACGGGCTGCCGTTATCTTCGTCGCTAACCTAGGTGTATGGAGCTGGGCGTTGTGTCTGTCTCTCCACTATTCTGAGCTATGGGAGACCTCAACGCTCCTAAAATTCAATGGAAGCGCCCTCGATGTCATGCCAGCAACGATGATCCAGAGAACTTGCCATGTGCACGGTCGGGCCACACGCTCTCCGTCATTGGGAACACAGGTTTCCTGTTTGGTGGACTGAGTAATGGGCTTATCGGTGAAAAGGTAGCGCGACCCCTCGACGAGCTACATATCCTCAGGATGGGCAAGTCCGAATTAGAGTGGTGTATACTGCAACTGCCAGAAGATACACGTCCTCTGGCACGGTGGCGTCATTCCGCCTGTGTGTTCGATGGCACGCAAATTATCATTTTTGGCGGGTACCATACGGCATCATTGAGACTCTCAGATATCTGGGTTTTCAACACAGTGGCGATGGAGTGGCAACAGCCCCATTCCACTCAAGGTCCAGGTTTCATGGCCAACGGCAGCCATCCCCAAGCTAGTACTTGGCCAGGTTCGCTTTTTCTTGCAACTTGGAGGACCCATCAATAATTCTATTAGGTCTTCCTGCTCCTCGGGGTGGTCATACAGCTACTTTTATCGGTCGCTCGATGTTCGTGTTTGGAGGTTACGGCGGGCATGGTGCCTTTTTGGAGTCCGACTGCCCTTTTGAGCTGAATATCCAATGATCTGACTGCTGTCCATCGATTTTGATTTCTCAGGTTATGCACGACGCGACCTCGATGATCTTCACTGCCTGGACGTCGATCGCTGGGCATGGTCCAGAGTGTCGGCCAAGGGCCGTGGGCCTGACAGACGCTCTGGTCACCAAGCGTGCGCAGTTGAGACTTCTTTGTTTGTTTTCGGGGGTTGGAACGCCTCGCAACAATTCGATGATCTCCACATACTCGACAACGGCCTCGATCCACCTGTGTGGTCCTAGTCGAGAATTCCCTCCCCGCTCC